ACTTATATATAGAAATAACTCGCAGAATATTGCTAGATATAAACTGTCATATACTTATATTTTCTCCCATAATACCAGCGTCAAAAATCTCGCGATTTTTCACTTGTGCGACTGTGTAGGATATTACTTGAAGATTTTCACATATTTAGGAAAGCTTATTTTTATGGAAAAATTATAGTTTTGCTAAAATTTGTCAAGAAAAACTTTCAACTTGCCTCTCTTTTCGGCTCACTAAACACCCATGCCAATATTTCAGCTTCAAAAAATCCCTTGTAAATAGGAAAGTAGTATTCCATTCACTTGTAGGACATCACAAAGCATACGAAATATAATATCACCCGCGGATACGGGATTGCTATAAGTATAACCCTTTAGTTCAGGTATATAGGCTACGTTTACACTAACGTATAGCCATATAGTCGACTGACAATCGCTTATATGATTCTATATGACATAGACTATTCTACACGACTGTAAATGTCAGACTACAAGTCCACGGCTATATGTATGTGTATAACCACAGCATGGTTTATTATAAGTCCATCTGTTTATAAAATGTAAGGACGTTTTACTTACCTACATACAAAAGGCCATTCGATTGCTGCTTTAAAAACTTCTGTTTTAACAGTTTACAGATAAATACATTTTCTGCAATACAATGTGTAATGTTCTTCATGAGTTGCTGACCAAATAATTAATGATTGTTTGAGTTGTTGAATTGCCTAAATTTCCTGCAGTGTTCAGCTGTCACAGAACCTGTATCACGCATTTAGATAGCTCAGAAGGAGAATAAATGCGCTTTTGTTCATAGTGCTCTATCAGTTCCGAACAGTTCTATTCTTGTTCAAAACTAACTTTGTTTACTCTATACACACGCAACTGATTTCTCACATCTTGTATAGCAGGTTTGCCAACAAGCCGTCAACAAGTTGTGTTCGCACTGCTTGTCCCAAGTTATGAACAAGTTTGGCACAAGCTGTTAACAACTTGTAATAAGCTTGATGGCATCTGATCAGGCTTGTTGCAAGATTGTTCCAACAAGTCCGATACAGCTATAGTCATGATCAGTCATGATATCAATAACATTATTACGACTTTGTGTCGTCAACCTTGTAACATTCTTGTTATATCAGACTTGCTAGAACAACCTTGTAACAAGTCTGCATAATGCCATTAAGCCAACAACAAGTTGTTAACAACTTGTGGCAAACTTGTTACAACAACTGGAAATTAATAAGCAGTGCGAATACAACTTGTCGACAGCTTGTGAACAGATTTGTAACAACTTGGTCGAAGACATGTAGCAACTTGTTCAGTTTTGAATTATTATGGTTATGCAAAGGCTATTATTCTGAATGATGTGAAATAGCATCCCTTTCCGATTCTAAGATTCAGTTCATTTATTTTTAGTTAAATTCGAAATTGCAAACCTCCCACAACGGGCTCCCATAGCCTCAATTCTTAATCTGTAATAATAAGCAATTCCAAATATCCTGCTTGCAAAACAGTTTTTAATTTTGCTCAATAATTTATTTCTTTAGTTTTAATAAAACTTGTTTGCCTTTCTCATATTTGAAACGAGTTTTGTTTCCTTTAAAAGCCACGATATTTACTTTTTACTTCTTTGCATTTTAACTTATTTTGTGGTGAGATTTAGCTCAATTTTTCCATATCGAGTAACGTAAATATTTCGCTTAAATTGTTGGAAAATAGTTATTGGAGATTAATTGGATTTTGTTCACAACTTTAATGATATGAAATGAGAACTTTGAAATTACAAACAGACGGTTTTCTGTCCCACGCTATTGCTAACTTCCTGACTATAATTTCCGACACTAAACTCTCGTTCATTCGTCCATTAGCATTGGATTGGAGTTTTCCAGTTCTAAGAATTGATCAAAGGTTTAACGAAGGCCGTGTGTTTGACCTGTATATAACATATTTGGTTAATAATGACTATTTAACGACGAAGGGCCTTCGCACGAAACGTCGAAGTTCTCCTTGTATTTTTCAGGTAGTTGAATCGCTCGCAATTCGCAACTTTGTGGTGTTATTGTACCTACGCTGGCACAAACGGTTCGAGTTATATTTGCATGGCAATACTATAGTGTCATCCAGTCACTGTGATCAGAATGTTCCATTGTCTTTTCATTGTTTCGAAAATCCCACTGTTCTCCATGCCATCCAGTCACCGTGATCCAATGATCAGATTGTTCCATATTGTCTTTTCATTGTGTTGAAAATCCCACTGTTCTCCATGCCATTCAGTCATGATCCCAAACGGTTCGAGTTATATTTGCATGGCAATACTATAGTGTCATCCAGTCACTCGAGTTATATTTGCATGGCAATACTATAGTGTCATCCAGTCACTGTGATCAGAATGTTCCATTGTCTTTTCATTGTTTCGAAAATCCCACTGTTCTCCATGCCATCCAGTCACCGTGATCCAATGATCAGATTGTTCCATACAGTCACCGTGATCCAATGATCAGATTGTTCCATATTGTCTTTGATGCCATCCAGTCATGATCCAGTGATCAAAATGTTCCATTGTCTTTTCATTGTCTTAACATGCCACTGTGCTCTGTGCCATCCAGTCACTGTGATCTAATGATCAGATTGTTCCATTTGTTGAAAATTCCACTGTTCTTCATGCCATCCAGTCATGATCCAGTGATCAGAATGTTCCATTGTCTTTTCACAGTTTTGAAAATCCCATTATTCTCCATCCCATCCAGTCATGATTCAGCAGTGATCAGAATGTTCCATTGTCTTTTCATTGTCTTGAAAATCCCACTGTTCTCTCTGCCATCCAATCACTGTGGACCAGTGATCAGAATGTTCCATTGTCTTTTCATTGTTTTAAGAATACCACTGCATATTCTCCATCCCATCCAGTCATGATCCAGTAGTGATCAGAATGTTCCATTGTCTTTTCATTGTTTTGAAAATCCGTCACTGTGATCCAGTGATCATGATCTGAATGTTCTGTTGGCATTACATTGTCTTCAAAATCCCACTGTTTTCCATCTATATAGTCCTGATCCAGTGATCAGAATGTTCCATTGATCTTTCATTGTTTTGAAAATCCCACTGTTCTCCATGCCATCCAGTCATAATACAGTGATCTGAATATTCCATTGTCTTTTTATTGTTTGAAAATACCATCTCCATCATCATGAATCGTGATCCAGTGATCGCAAAGTTCCATTGCCTTTTCATTGTTTTGAAATTCCACTGTTCTCCGCGCCATCCAATCATGACTCAGTGATCAGAAATTCCGTTGGCCTTTCCATTGTTTTGAAAATTCCACTGTTCTCCAGGCCACAGAATAGGAAGGTATAGCAGAAGCGTAACTCAAGCAAGTATTTGTCCGCGTTTTTACAAGCGATTCGTCATCAATCACGCCATCCAGGCTAGTACAACCGGCACTTTGTACCTAGCAAAACCTGATAAAAACTTCCGGTTGTACTAGCCAGGATGGCGTGAGCTAGTTAAAATTTTCGTGGACGTAAAACAATAAAGGAAACGACTAGAGTTACGCTTCTGCTATAGCTTCTTATTCTGTGTCCAGGCCATCCATTCGACTTGTTTTGACATATCTAAAGCGTTTACACTGTACCGTTTTCGTAGCGTTCTCGTATTGTTCTTAATCCTCAAGGGAACACAAGACAATAGTCTAGTTCTCTCGAACAATACAAGAACGCTACGAAAACGATACAGTGTAAACGCTGCCTAAAGTAGCACGCCTTCAACCACGTTCCCGGGCTCTCTCTTGCGCTTTGCTGATTCTCAGACCCCGCTCACGTGGGTTTAGTGAGTAAATTTTCCGAAATCACGGAACTGCAAGGAGTATACAGAAATTTCGTATATTTTGACATCGATTTAAAGAATGACGTTATGGTTTTATGGACTGATAACTTTTTTAGCGACATGACCATTAACTGGGGGGAAATAGTGGTATTAAAACTGTTTAATTGCTGCGAGCGCCAGCGAGCAGCCCCCTATTCTTGACGTGCATCTAGATTTGTGTGATTTTTGTTTGTCAGGATGATTTTGAGCACGCGTATGTATGTGCTGCGGTTTCATCATCAGTCATATGCGAATGCGTTCATATTTGCACTTATGCGCACATTGCCTGCGCCAGCTAGTTCATAACTATGTGACGTTATTTTGGCTTCTTGACTTCACTTATCTCATTATTCTCATAGCGGGAATGACCGAAGTTCAAGAACTCTAGACATACTGAAGCACAGTCAGTGATTTCAAGGCATTATTTGGAAAATTTTGGCGGAAAATGTGGCTTACCGATACCGCGCGAAAAATGGCCTGGAACGAGACCGCGAAGCTATTTGCGGAAACGTTTATTTTTAGCATATCTAATAAAAGAGTAAAAAAAAGTCTGTGTGTAAATAATTCATCAGATGTAGGCGACACGACGCGTTGGTCGCGATTAAGCGAGTCGAATGGCTAAGTAGATTTTGAATGGCATCGTATGTGTCCCGTCAGGCCCCAGGTGGCTAGAATGACTTGTATTGACAACCGTTTCCATGGCCCAGCTTGTGGTGTGCACACGCCATCAGCGGGAACCAATAGCGAGCCGAGTTTCAATTAAGATCAGTTGTAATAAGTATTCGTGGTTAACACGGAACTACACAGAAATGCCCGATTAATTAAGGCTTGCCTATTATGCAAGCAACATAAATTAAATATACGGAGTTTTTTTTTAAGTCTGCTCTGTCATTCAATATCATTCGAACGCCGTTTGTTGATGCAAACACTTCAAAAGCGTCGTTATTATATTGGTTGTGAATTTTTTCCTTCAAAACCACTCATCTATATTTGGTTTTCGAGAGAAATATTTGGCAAGAAGTCGAATAATTGCGACAGATTTATTGCTATTGAAGGCAGCGGACTAATTGTCATATACAGTTTGGTTCCGACTTGGATTTAACAACACAACGCAGCGCCGTTGGCAGAAAAGCGTCAAAGACGAAATGCAGAATTGTTTGTGCGAACCTAAATCATGTTACAACTATAGAACGAATCTTTTAAACCAGTGGAAAAGCCTACCGAACCTACTTGTCAGTCAGAATTGCGACACACTAAATTTGCAACAGAAACGTAGTTTATTTCAAACGCGGCAAGACACGTTGGTTCCATGTTACGAACGTTCAAAATCGATGGATTTTGCTTACAGTAATTGCGATGTCCATTTGACGCTTGTTGACGAGGAGAATGCGATGGATTTTTCGACCTACGATCTTTATCTGAGCAAAGATTTTACAGATTTGATGGACGCTTCGTTGTCCGAGCGCTCCGACATCGATTCCAACGAAGTTAGAACGGAATTGGACGATTCGTTCGACTGTTGGAGCGAATTACAGTCAAGTGAACTTACTCAAACGAATTTGTCTCAGTCGCTTGCATCTCAGATGTACTCTTATGAAAACTTAGACAGAGTCGGGAAAAATCTATATAAGATTAATAAGTGGTTTCAACGATGCAGCATTGATAATGAAGATAGCAACGAAAGAACAGACTGACTGGGTTTTATAGAAGACAGATAAATCGACTTGTTGCCGTCAGTTTATAACTTAGCCTTTCTAGTATGGACGTAAATTTAAGATGCCTTATATTTGTACATTAATTAATTTCAATACTGTCTGTGTCAGTAGCATTCTGCAATAAGCTGTCGCGGTTTGTGTCTGAACTACCTGAAAAAATCTCTCAAACATGGGGTCCACTGTAGGCAGTATTCTACAATGAAGCACTGTGGCGGTTTGTCTCTGAAACGACCTGCAAAATTAAAACATTTCACTTTCAACGTTTTTGAGCAAAAGTCTTCGTCAGGCGATTCAAGTAGCGTCAGCTACTTCACTCGAAATCAGTCTCGAACAGTATTTTTAATTTTCAGGTAAACTGGATCCTTTTACCCTGGTTACCAAAGCCTCTTAAAATCTTTTTTGAGGTAATTCAGATATCAACAGTGCTACAATTTACACTCCTTATATTGTGGACACTTATGTTTTCAATGTTTGCTGCCGTACATAGTTTCTGAAAGGAACTTGTCAAAGACTACTCTTCTCGATCAAGTGGAGGAGAATTTCCAAAGAAGAAAACTTGTCATTTAAGGAACATTTGGCCATCTGTTCAGAGCTAAAATTGAAATATCAAAGTCATGCATGCCCGAATAAGCCATAAGGCTTTCTTTGTACATACTGAAAATGAATTAGATTGTTGATATTGTATCATATTTATACAAAAGCAAAAACTACATAGAGAAACGAATTAAATTAATCTTAATATATAAGTAACGCGAACTTATAGAAGTGTAAAGTGTCCAAATGCATTGACAGCATTTTTGTGCAAGGAATAGTCTGGTCCAAATGTTAATCTAATCTAATCCAATCTAAAAGCTAGCCCACCACTCTTAAATTTTTCATGCAATTATGCCGTGCAGTAATGGCTAAAAATATTTAAGATGTATCGTTTTCACATCAGTTTACAGTATGCATACATGAGCATTTTTTTGCTGAAGCGTGGATGGTCATTAGTCGTGTATGATTCATGCGAAAATATCTAAAACAGTCCCTCATTTGAAAGGTCAACAATACTATAAATGGTTAAAAGCTTGATTATTTTTGCTTTATTCTTTCGCGAAATGTCGCAATTAATTAATCAGAACTCGTTAATGGAACGGAGGAATGACATATGAATATTACATGTATATTTTTCGGCTTTATATTTTAATAACATCATGTTAAACTGAATTGTTTGAAAGGTTTTGGCTCGACCTCAAAATGCATATGCCTTTGGCCTTGAAACATTTAATATTAATCATGTATTAGATCGAGATGAGTCATAGATCTATAGTTAATTTCGAACAAATCTTTGGCCTGGAATAAACTTTTATTCATACTTTAAAATGTCTTATCTGGGAAGGTCGGGAAGGATAACCGCTGTATTAGACCTCTGGAGCTGGCTATTCAAAGCTGGATTAGCGCTAACCTTCGGTTAAAATTTAATCTGCTGTTTTAGTTTATAGATTTATACACAACTGTTTATTTCAAAACTTCAGACAAGAAAACTCTACTGATTCAGACAATATTTCTAAACTACGAATTTTTCCAAATTTATAAAGGCAAACTGTTTGGGAAGTTTGCTTTGAATTTTAGGTTAACCCATGCAGGGTTAAGCTAATCCAGCTTCGAAAAACTGACCCCTGGTATTTGAGAAATTAAATTTCCAGTTAAGCCAATAACACTGTCACGTAGAAAAGGAGAAATATATTTCAACCTTACATGCAATGATAGTATAGCTAGCTCAGCATGCAACTATGTTAGTATTTATTATCCCCTTTCTCCTGTTGGGCGGTCCTTGGACCGTATTACCAATATATATAGGGGACTACCCTCGCGTCTTCTGCTGATCTCTTCATTCCATAATGTCTCTGTCCAGCTCTCCTTCATCTCTTCTTATTACGTGTCCATAACATCTCAACCTTGCTTCCCCCACCTTCTCTGTAATGTCTACCACCCCACATCTTCTTCTGATCTCTTCTTTCCATAATGTCTCTGTCCAGCTCTCCTTCATCTCTTCTCACTATGTGTCCATACCATCTCATTCTTGCTTCCCTCACCTTCTCTGTAATGTCCACCCCCCCCATATCTTCTTCTGATCCCTTCGTTCCATAATGTCTCTGACCAACTCTCCTTCATCTCTTCTTATTACGTGTCCATACCATCTCATCATTCTTCCCTCACCTTCTCTACAATGTCGACCACCCCACTTCTTCTGATCTCTTTACCCCATCTGCCCACAACCCATGGGATTATTTTAGAGAAATTTTATCACTGCACAAAAAAAAACCCATAAAATAGCAGATGTCGCGTAGCGAAGTAGCGCTGAGTACAGCTCTCTAGATTATACTTTATTCAGCTGTGCTGTACTACTACTGTGAAATTCCAAACAGGAAAATTTACAAATTTGTAAATGGAAACCTAAGAAAAGGGACTGGTGATAGGGAATTGCAAAAACAGAACCTTTCGAGGGACCTTGGGGTCCTTCTCCGGATATTTTAATTTCATACTTTTTAGCCTCTAGAGGTTGATTCCTTGCATTTTCAAACACAATTTTTGATACATTCCATCTTGGACGATTGAATATTAGGCCATATAAAGTTCGATACAAAATATCGGCATAACTTATTGTCTTTCTTGTGCTTATCGTGCTTTTGAACAATTCAAACATAATTATATATAATTTGCGATAAATTATGCTCTCCTTTGACGAATTAATATCACCTATAGTTAAATATTAAAGAAAATCAGTACTACACAAAATCTCATTTATCACTGCACAAATCCCATTATCACTGCACAATGCAATATATTATGGAAATTTTCTTGTCAGAGACGATTCCTGAAATTCTATCAAAGTGATTTCTTTCTACTTTTAAAGTTCAAGTTCATCCACGTTCAAGTTCATCTATTGTGGCGGTAAAGTAGGACAAAACCAAGATTAATTGTCATTGCTATTTTCAAACTCATACATTATTACTGTATATAACTGCCATTATAAATACTTATTGAAACGCTTTGTCATTAAACAAGCATTGTACATACAACTCTAACCTCCTATAGAGCGAGTAAAAAATGTAATTACAAGCTAGTCATATTCATTATTTTACGACATTCATTATGGTTGTTTTATTTTAAGACCGACAAAGACTTTAATGAATACCTGCAGTTTTGCACGACAGGGGACTGATTCATTTTGAACATAGCCTGTATTTCGGATTCCCTTATACAAGGTGTATAAAAAAAGATAATCTAAATTTTACATGTTGTCGTGTGTTATTTTTAATACGTCAATAGGTTTTCTTTTTCGTATTTATAAAGAACATGCCTTTAGCTGTCGAATGACACCTTTCTGGAATGATTGCGATAAAAAATGAAAAAAAAATTCTTCCAATTTTCGAACATTGGCCCAAATGCTTGTTGCCCATTTGGGAACTTATGCGATTGTGAATCCAGTCTGCAAGCTTCCAGTGTTGTAAAGTGTTTTAGCCACTCAATTTCTATGTAAAATTCAGAGTAAAAGTTTATCAAAACTTGAGGTTTACACATACGTTGGGCCATATTTACTCAAGAGACTTCAACAAAAAGATACTATTGTTCAGTTGTCACACATGTCCTTTACCACTTCTGTGACAAGAATTTGATGACTGCTTGTTCAATTTTCTCCAGTCTAAAGTTTCATGTTGTCTGCATATGTACTTTCTTTGGAGACACCATTTGCTTCCTGACAAATCGGAAAACGATCAAGGAAAATGGTTGATTTACATTATTACATATTGTATTGACATATGACTGTTGACATTGCTTTTTATAGTCTTCAATATTTCAATGAGTCATGCTTTGGAAATGACAATATCTTTTTATTATCCAACCCTTGAATTGTTTTGTTTTTCATTTACCCAACCTTTCACTCACTCAAAATTTTGTTTACCCAATCCTTTTCTCTTTGGTGCCACCCCCGCCATAAATAATTCATGGTTCCTTTCCTTCGAATGTAAATCCATGGATTATAAAAATTATTTTAAGTATCCAAAAGACTATAATGAGCTAAAATGAAGGTTTTACCATTAATCACGGATCGTCCAAAATCCACGTGGTCAAACAAGCTTTTTATTGCTGACTCGCAGACGCTATATCACTGCATACTGCATGAAGTCTGCTCGCAGGCCATCTTTGGAATTTCAAAGTCCGCGCTTTGGCGCCCTATGCCTCACGTGTTTTCTGAATAAAAACAGAACGTCGATTTGCAATTTTCAAGTGCTGTTGAAAATGTAAAATATTGTTGATCTTTTCATCTTTATTATGTGAAGAAATCTAGATCGTTTGCTAAATTTGACAAAGCAGTAATGTAAGGCTTTCGTTCGGGCAAAGTTCGTCTCATTTGGTCCAAATTTTGACAGACAACTTTGGATATTTGTCGCAAGTTCTTGCAGTATTGAGTATTCTCAGCTCAATTAAAGGTATAATTATAAGGTTCTGTGTTATTATTTAGAATCATGACGATGTTAGGCTCTGTTATGTTGTAGATTGATTAAGGAAAGGCAAGATAGTATGTATTAACGACAATTAATGGACACATTTAGTACTGTTGCCAAAAGTGTAAGTGTAAAAACCACTTCATAATACACAAATGGTATTCCACTTTTGTGAATGATTTGAAGAATGTCAAACTACCGGGAAGCTGTCAGCAAATTCGTCACAACATTCTTCATGACATTCGTCACGAGATTAAATAAAAAGATAACCACATCTGGTGAGCTTCCGATTTCCCATCATTTAAAAGCATTGAACTTAAACCCGACCTCACCATATATGGTTGTTATCTGTTTATTTAATCTTGTAGTGTTGTGACGAATGTTGCAAACAATGTCGTGATGAATATTGTGATGAAAGTTGTGACAACTTCGCAATAGTTGTCAATCCTTTAATTAACCCATTAAGCTGCAATGTGCCCTTGTGGTGCTGTTGTTACATGGACGATTTTACTTGAGGGGTAAAATTGTCTGGCTACAATGTGCCCAAATCCTTTTTTTTATTTTACTCTGTCTAATGCCATATTGTCTTACTCTGTCTAACGGCAGATGAATTAACTTGTCAAGGGGAGAGTCTTGCATTGATTTGCCCATTTATAACTGATGTTTGGTCATAGCTTTTACAAGAGAAGCCTTCTTTTTGCTTGTGGTTGTCAATCTACTGTGTCCAGAGGTATGGCCATGGGGGGGGGGGCGTGGTCAGGACCAATTTTGTAATTCTTTTAAAATTGATGTGAAACTTGGGGGGGGGGGCATAACCGCTTAATGTTTTCATCTGTGGCATAAAATAAGCCAAATCTGTGGCTTTCAGATAAAATGTGACTAAAATTCATGAAATAGTGTTTCGCAGACCCTAAAATTAGAAACATTTTTCACGGGGGCGTGCATCTGACACCTGGACCATTATCCCACACCCCACGGCTGGACGATTAGCCTTGTTTGGGGCTGGCTACACCCCTGACTATATCAATTTATTTCAACAACTTAGATGAACTTAATTTCAAGGAACTTAATTTAATAAATGAACTTATTTATACAACAATTTTTTATTTAATTCAGCTTTATAATTGTCAACACTATGGAATTGTCTGGCTTAAACAAAGCCCTTCACTCGCTGTACTGTAAGAAAATCTCAGTAGAAAAGGAAGCCAGCACTCGGCAAGAAATTGTCTTTAACGTCAATGTTATTCTCGGCAAGATGAAGGAATGTGACCAGGAGAAAGCCGTCATGTTTAAGGTGGTCACAGAAAAGGTTTTGCAAGGCATTTCGTCACAACATTACGAAGTTTACGTTGTTTTGAAAAGCTTGGAAAAAATGGTCGAAGTTGTCGATGCCGTGGAAGAGGGTATGTGTTCATTTATAATTTGCTTTATATCAAGTGGAGTAAGATCATCTTATTACCATAATTGCTTTCAAGCAAAGTTGTTTACAACAATGTTGCAATTGGACAACTTTACGTTTCATATGTCAAAATAGTAATGACATAGGGACGTAACTTTGTGTTTTGCAACGGTCATTTTCTCATCCGTGTTGAGTCAAGACAATAACAAACCTAAATTACAAATTCCTCTTTGGCACTTTTGCTGTTTTAGTTAGTATTTTTATTTCATTGTATTAATAAAATGTATATATAATATATTGTTAAAATATACCTTTGTTTTATACAATAGACCAAATATTAGTCCTTGTAACCTTATTTTCGATTTGTTATACAAAAGCCTGTGGGCAATTGTGGTTTCTATTGCAAATTGTTTCAATAATATTATAATAATTCAATTTAATAAAGGATTTTCTCGTCTGGAGTTAGCCAATCAGAGCTTACCGTACGACTGGGCGGGACCTTGGTACAACTGCTTAGATAACGAGGGCTTCCTCGTACTGCCCGCAGTACATCAACGAATGAGGGGACTGGGCTACGAAGCCATTACGGAACTACATTCTCACCACTTTCTCGAAAATGTACGGGTTGCGGAAGAAGACTTAAACAGCAGCAAATTTCGATTTCAGTTCAACTCTAAATTTCACGGAAATATTGTGGTTTATATCATTCCGGCCATCGAGATTGAAGTTAGGCCTCGCTGCCTCAGAACTGATGTACCGGTAAATTTACAAAACATTTTGTTGACGGCAAGCGGTTCATGGGGGTCCAAGGCGGACGACCCGCGCCGGTCACTGTGGCATGTCTCATTACTCATGATCAAGAATGAAGTGTTTGCCCACATGGACTGCCCGGGTGGGTTTCGCCGGTTAGTCCGAGGTGTACTGCATTTATTATGCGAGAAGTACGTACATTACCCGGTCACCCACAAACTTGTCGATGCGCTTTTCTTGTGGAACTTGTGCGCGCATGCATCGGAGGAGGACTGGGTTCTAGACAAGCTGGCCGCGCGTGTTTTGGAAATCTTAGAGAACTTGAGACGAGCATTACGTAATCATCGCGTGAGGAACTATTTTATGCCTCAGTATAATATGTTAGCCGATTTTGATGGACTCAAGTTGGATAAAGCTGCAGAAAGAGTGCAATCTCTGATGCAGAAATTGAAAGAGAACCCATACAGCTTACAGCTTTTTGCAACGTGAAGCATTAAGAATTATACATTCATTGTGTGAATTTAGAGGTGTAATTCTCCTCATCAATAATAGAGAGTTTTGGCAAATACAATGGCAATGGAAACGTGCTCAACAACAGCACTGTCAGGAGCATCTTTACTAAGACAAAGGCGACTATAATTTGCATTCTTAAGCATTCTAGTACGCCGTAGTTGTCCAAACTGCTACGTTATTTACATCATTTTCACGGCTCATAACCACGCCAACACTCACAGAGTAAAACGTTCAAGTCTTTTGCGGTGTTTTATGTGAATTCACTTACTATTGCTACTTCAGGGAATTTCAGGGTTGTTTAAAAGGAAGATGAGTGCTTTTAAAAGTTTAGTAATGTATGTTTTAATTGGTTCGCATATAAAAGTATAAGTAATTTTGTTTCCTGCCGTTGTTGGTTGGCAAACTCAGTAATATTCGTAGTGTAATATATGGATTACAATACTGGATTGTAATATAAGCGTCATTTAATTAAGGACTAAGCCTAAGGTGCATTCGACACAAAACCATTTAATTTAAACGAATAAACTTTTAAAACTGCAGACTACACTGTAATATTGACTCAAACATTTAAGTAAAATAAATCTTTACTCAAAGAGTAAATTTGCTCATACTTTTTGAGTTCCTTGTTTTCTGACTATGATTAAGATTTTTGTCGATTTTGGTTGCATTGTTTTCTAAAGAAACTGAAATATCTCGCCAGGTGATCTCGGAACTCGGAAAAAATCTGGCACTGTGGCAATTAACAGTCTGGCACTAGTTGTAAAATTGAAATCTATTTGTGGTTTAAAATTACTCAATATCTCATTAACGGTATTAGATTTCTATCTCAAATTTGTCCCAGTTCCCATTCATTTTCCTGTGAAAGACGCAGACACGAAGTTTCAAACAGGGCGTGACAAATGATTAAAGGTACTGGATTTCTATTCTGTTGCTAGTCCCAGTCCTTTTGCTCACCGTCAGATCACCTGGGTCAATGAAAATAAAAATTTGTAAAAGAAGTTTTAAAGAGTTCTTTCGTTTAAAGGAATAGAAAATATCTAAGATTGAAATAAATTCGAATTATCATAGCATCCAAGATTCTTTCGGATTTGATTTAAATATTGGGTTTATTTACTAGATAGCTCTATCAGTTCTAAACTGTTCTTTTTAGAAAAACTACGCTGTTTCCTAGAGTCTTTTTGAGTCAAACTGACAAACCCTATCTCAATATTCATGTCTCGACTTCTGTCACATGATTGTCCTCAAACTCCGATTGGCTAGTCTCGCGTATCCATTGACCAATCAAACGCTTTCTTTCCGCCTCGTTCGGTTCAATTCCCTGTTTATCCAGTTTGTACAGGTTTTCCGACAAAACCCGACAACGTCGCGAAGTCTCATTCCACGAACTAAGGTTCACTTGCATCGCCGATGCTCGTAACGGGTCGAGTTTTACGAAAAACCTCTTCGGACGTTCTCGTGAACTTAGATTCGGAAGGCTTCTGCATCTGGTGTGGGAGAAACGCTCTATTTTACCTCTGGGGGTAAAAGTACTGTATCTCCTTGCTTGATGAACAGTTCTTAGCTGTAACAAATTGTCCTCGCTCTTTCCCGCAACACCTTCAGATTTCAAGGAGCAAACCTCGTTAAGTTCTGTTAGCATTCTGGCACAATTGAAGGCATGCGACGCCCCTTGCGGGCTGGCCATGCCCGATTTGCGTTCATTTGAAATCTCAGTTTTTGTTCTAGTAATTTTAATCCTCGGAAGTTTCTCACCACTACGGTTTTTCTTCTCGGAGTTTCGCTCCCTACGTGGAGTAAGGACTTTCTCAAGATCATCTAAATTTAATTTAGTTTCTGCTTGTTTGTCGGTTTCGACTATCTTTGTTGACGGTTTTTCCTCGCTCTTTTCTGCCATATATTCCGTCGTTTTTACGCCGGGAAAGGATTTTGGCATTTTTAGTAATTTCTTGTCTCGTGACTCGAAAGTTTTGTAATTTGCAGATCTTGGTTTTGTCTGCTTCGTGACATCAAAATTTGTTGAAAATGAACTTGCTTTATTTTTCATTCGGTCGGCTGTTTGCTCGTGCATATCTAGCTGTCTAAAATTGCGGTGAAATTCGTCATTTGGTCGTGAATCGATATTTATAAAACCGTTCCAGGATTGGGTTAATCTTTCCTCTGGCTCTGAAATTTCGTCGTCTCCAATCCGTTCAGCGAGTTCATTCATTGACATTGTTTTTAATATAACGATAACTGGGAGTTTCCTATATAACCAGAATATAACTATAAGTATATAACTTTCCTAGCTTGTATAATATCCGAATATTTCATAAAATCATACACTTTGGTATCTTTTCAATTAGCAAAACTAATAATATTTATTTGGGTAAAGTGAATATTTTAATAAACTAAAGTCAAGATAAATACGATTTTATATATTTTGTAGTTTTACACTACTTACCGAAAACCTCGCTTTATAACACCTCGATTTGTCGGGAAAATACAATATAACTTGTCCCGACTATTTTTTGCGGACACAGTGTCAATAAGCTGCAAATGTTTAATTCTGTTTCCATATTAACTGCTGATAAAATATTCATGATATGAAATTGTTCCTACGCGCGGTATAATTAAAAACAGCAGGTTTTTACACACGAAAGTAGACAAATAGAGCTTTTAAAATTGTTGCATTGTTTGTTCATAACCGTGACATTATTTTGAGATGACATTTCGCGAATTCAAAAATTCTACAGTAATTCGATTCATCGAGTTTCATTTTCTTTTCGGGTTTTTTATCATTGACATCGCAATGCCAGATCAGTCACATCGTGAAACAGATCAGTTCCAATCTTTCCCTTCATGAAAATATTCAGACCATGGCCATACATTATGCACTCTTATATTTGTAAACATTCATCAGTTATTTCTTTGCTATCTGACAGCAAGTTGTTCTATTTACTATTACGTGCAGTATACTGTATATACAGATGTCCACAGTGTGGGATAAAGTTATTTTATAGACAGTTAAAAGCTATTTACTTAATCCAACAGCTTGTAGACAGTGACAATGTAAATGATTTTAACTGTCAACTTGAAAGCCCTTACTCCTTAGGCTTAATAGGAAGAGTTATTTACAAATAAGTTAGAAACATTCTTCTTTTACTCTTTTCCGGCCGTATCAACGGATTTAATTGAATTATTTATTAACAACGATAGGTGAAATACTACGGAGTCGGCATCATTCCTCAGTCATTCATACGGACAGGAAAGCGTTGTGGATATAGCCTTTGGCAGTTTGGCTGCTGTAAAATAACACTTTGTCGTTTGTGACTGAGGACTCTCACATGGTAAAATACATATGCGTGAGCATTTTTTATATATGATTGATATAGAACGGAGATGGCTTTTATCTACTTACAACTCTTGCCCGTTGATGATAAACTGTTGACAAATAACTGAAATCATCAAGCAGGTGCCTGTGCTGACATAGACTAGTAAAATACTAAAATGGGCATCGTTTATGAGATCGTTTTTAAAAGAAAGCATTATCATTCACATGCAAGTCAAGTCTATCTAACACACTCCTGACCTCTAACAAGAAAGAGTTAACAGTAGTGTAAAAAAACTATTGTCTGAAACTTTTTCGATTATTATTTCAAAACTATTTGACATTTACATTGTCAATGACGATTCTAAAATTTCTAAAACTATATGTACAAGTGGAAACATTCAATATATGCTCTGGAAACTCAGCATGCAAAAGTGTTTGTTCTAAGGGGAAGACAATGAATTTTTAGAAAAATGATGCAATCGTCCACAGTGCATTTTTAAGGATTCTTCAGTGGTGGGGCAAAACTGCCAAAGGGCCCATTTTCCTTACCCCTCCCCCAGGATAATATGCAATCGCCGAAGGTGTGATCCGAGTGCCGCAGGCACGAGTTAGCTAAGGGGTCTGGGAGCATGCCCCTCCTGGAAATTTTAAAGATTTGCGTCTCCAAAATAGCCGATTTTCTGCATTCTGAGAACACATTTTAAAAAATATCATCTCCTCAAAACAAAGTTTTAATGGTGAAATTTGTAATAAATTGCACGCTAAACATTCAAACACAACATAAGTTTAAGTATGCTCACCAACAAATTTTGTTCTTTTAAACATCTTTTCAATGTTAAACTCATTTACTCAAATACAGGTCCTACGGCCCTGGCAATAGGCCTTTTTTTTCTTCAGTGGTGGGGCAGAGGAAAGGGCCTAGTGGGGCAAATGCCCCACCAGTCCATGGTATTAAAAAATGCCTTGATCGTCCAGTATTATCGTGTCGCTGAATGATTCAGCCGTGCATGCTGTTTAAATATCAATAAGCAAAATTTCAAAAGGTTTCTGTACGGTTACTCGTCTCAAGACACTTTGCAGTTTGTCGAGTTTCCAGACATTATTTCGCCTATAATCGAATTCAAATTCGATCCATTATTCAGATCTGTCTTACTATGATTACACAATGGATAAGAGTTACTAACGCGGTTAATATTTCATACGAGACGGTTTTTGAGTTGCTAGTTGGAACTATTTCGTTCCATTCATCACCGAAGTAACATTTTAAGGGTTCATTCATCAAAGGTTCTTCGTCTATTTCTGATTCATCCAACTGAACATCTGTTGTTTTGGTTGAAGTTTCTTGGTTGAAGTTAATGACTCTGCTTTCAATGTGTTCTCGTTTTTGGAATGACATGAGTCTAGAAGAAATAGATGTGGTTTACTTTTAGTACGGTTTACCATGCCACACCATACTACATGGTGTATAAAAAAAAGGTAATCGAACTTCAGCGCGCTATTGTATCTGAATTACTCTGCGTATGAACGAGATTTTTTCACATTCGGAAAGATCATCCTTTTAGCTGTTGAATGATATCTTCTTCATGCCAAATTTTAATCGGCCTCGTACATGCTTATTTTTTCTCCCCTTGGCAGGAAAAGCATGTTATTCAATAGGTAAAAGCCTGATCTTTCCGAATATGAAAACCACGTATAATAGTTTCACGGTATAATAGCGCGCTGAAGTTCGATTACCTTTTTTTTTATACACCCTCTATATACCACTCACACCATACTATACCATATCACAGCATACTATACCATATCACAGCATACTTTACCATACCATGTACCATACCATACTGCACCATACCATACCATAACATGCATACCATACCATATCACACCATACTTTACCATATCACACCATACTATACCATATCACACCATACTATACCATATCACAGCATTTACCATACCAT